TATCTATAGTACTATGTTAAATAAAAACAAAAATGTGATAGTAAATACCTTTGTGTTTTAAAAGCACGTTAAATGCTTTTAAATGTTTTGACTGCCTTAAAAGCATGCTTAAAAAAAAAAAAAAAAAAGCCAAACAAATCTTTGCTGATAGAAATCAGAATCGTGATTGCCTTCTGGGTCAGAGTGGGCCAATTGACCAGAAAGTGTCATGAGAAAATGTTCTGCCAAAATAGAATTGTACGATATTTTATTCTTGGTCATGATTACATTTGTCAAAATTCACTGAACTGTACACTTAAGAGCTGTACATTTTACTTCCCATTTTCTTCTTAATTTCTAGGGCCTATTTGTACATTAGCCATATGACCCTTTTGGGATATAAGTTGCAGAAATTTATTCCCAAAGTAAAATTTGTATCTTAAATTCACTTATTTTTTGCATATAGAAATTTTATTTTTATGCAGACACATTTTCAATCTTTTATAGTTTCTGAATTTTGGATCACAGGATGGCTTTTCCCATGCCAAGTTTATAAAACAATTATCTCACTTTCTCCTTAAGTCTTTTTTTATAATTTTATTTTGTATATTTAAATCTTTAATTCATTTGTAATTCATCTGTGTATTGTTTGAGGTTTGAATTCAACTTTTTTTTTTTTTTTTTTTGAGACAGAATCTCACTCTGTCACCAGGCTGGAGTGCAGTGGCACAATCATGGCTCACTGCAACCTCTGCCTCCCAGGTTCAAGCGATTCCCCTGCCTCAGCCTCCGGAGTAGCTGGGCCTACAGGCACGTGCCACCATGCCCAGCTAATTTTTTGTATTTTAGTAGAGATGGGGTTTCACCATGTTGGCCAGGACGGTCTTGATCTCCTGACCTTGTGATCTGCCCAACTTGGCCTCCCAAAGGCATGAGCCACTGTGCCCAGCCCAATTTTTTTTTCTGCATGACTTCACAAAGTATTTCACGAATAAAATTTCTAATATTTTACCATCTTTATATTTTCAGGATAAACTTCTATGTTATAATGTAATATTTCAATAACTTTCAAATGTATATGAGTGTACACACATACATATATACACATGCATTGTATGTGTGTACATAGATGAAAATAGGTATAAGCATAAACCCTTTTATAATTTGCTGAAATTTTTCTTAGGATTTCTGCCTCTGGTTTATAAGTGTGATGGGTCTATATTTTCTCTCTCTTTCACTATCCTTATTAAATTTTGGTAGTAAGGTCAAAATAAACTCATAAAAAGAATTGTGTCACTTTTCCTCTTTTTCAATTCTCAGAAACAGTTCTTAAAGCCATCTGGGCCTGGTGTTTTTTGTCGGGAAATATTTAACTAGTGAACAAGTTCTTAGTTATGACTTTTATATTTCTTCTTGAGAAAATTTTGTTAATTTCTATTTTTCTGTGAAATAGTTTTTCATCTGACATTCCAATTTTTCAACTTAACACCATCGTCTAATAATTTTAAAAGTCACTATTGTATTTTTCTTTCCTAGTACTGTTTATTGATGTCTTCCCTTTTTTTGCCCTCATTAATTTATTTAAAAACCTTAGGGTGCTCTGACTCAGTTTTTGTGCTGGTTTCTTGAGTTTCAGGATTGGAGTGGGAGCTAATGAAGAAGAGAAAATGCATACAGCAAGAACAAACTTCAGGAAAGAGTCTTCTAATACCCTGGGCAGGTACTGCCTATTTTGATTGGTCATCAAAAGCTCAGTTATTCCTTGTTTTTATCAACTGTAAAGTAGGAATATATTATAGTATATTATAGTATCTGCATGATACAATGGTATGAGGATCAAATAAATTAATACAAAACAAACATTTAAAATATTGTTTGTCACATATAGAGCTGTCATTGATATCATTAGTTGTTGTTATCATTATGTGTAAAGAGGAAATAGAGTAACAAACCCAGGTTTGAACTAGGACCAAGACACTAAAAATATGTTGGTTGCGTGTCCTTCCACATTTGGTCCCTAGGTCCCCTCTCCACCTACCTGGCCATCATTGTTCCTCACACTGAATGCCCTCCCAGTCTCCATGGATAAATGTTGTATTACCATGAAGTGAAGAATGGCTGGAACATGGCCACATCTAATATTTCACAGACTTTCTGGAAGTTACAGTCAAGCCTCACACAATCATATTTAACATAAAAGGCAGGGCCAGGTTAAAAGATAACATAAGTGTAACCTTATCTTAATGCTTTCTAAATGATTAGTTTATTGAGCATTTAACTGGCTAAATATTTTTATATGATGTACAAATTTATATGCTGTATATTGAATGAAAAATATTAAAGCCAATAGATAAAGTTTTGCTAGAAAGAGGAATCATGTTATTTGCTTTAGTGTTTAGGTTAAAGTTTATGTGCAGATATTGGCTTATCTGTCATTGGGTCTATTCATATAGGCATGTTGACCAATTGGCCTTTCCAGAACTGTGCTGTCCAATAGCGTCACCACTAGCCATATGTGGCTACTGAAATTTAAATGAAAAAAAAATTAAGTAGAATTAAAGAGTCATTTTTTTCATGACACTGAGCACATTGCAAGGGTTCAGTAGCCACATTGGCTATTAGCTACAATATTAGCCAACTCTAAATTATAGAGCATTTCCACCATCCCAGGAAATTCTAATGAATACCTCTGTTCTAGAGGGAGTTTCAATGATAATTAAAATAGTAGTAGTTCCACCACCAAAGTACTAGTAGTTCTTGAACAAGTGCCTCAGGGAACAGATCACCTTGTTCTTCCTAAAGCTGGCTGAATGCCTGTGGTTATGGCTAGCATGATAAAAATAATTTGTTCTTCTGAGCAGGTTAAACAAGTGCTTTGCAATGTTATTTATCCTGAGAATTATCCTGGAGATTCCAAAATTCAGGTATTATGAATTAGTGAAGCCCAAATTAATGTGATTTATTATATTCCCTAGGTCAATCTTGGAGGCTGAACTTTTTTTCTTTTGATTTTTTTTTTGAGATGGGGTTTCACTCTTGTTGCTAAGGCTGGAATGCAATGGTACAATCTCGTTTCACTGCAACCTCCACCACCCTGGTTCAAGTGATTCTCCTGCCTCAGCCTCCCGAGTAGCTGGGATTACATTGTTCCTGGCCAGAGGAAACCTCTGACCCCACTTCCACCTTCTGCCACTTACATACTTGTTGATATATGCATCACCTATTTCCTGGTCACTATCAGCCCTAAAACATGTGTCAACTTTGGCCACATTCCTAGAATAGACATTGGGCTTGTCATTGCTTCTGCTCTGAGTGACCTCTTTAGCAAAAGCACCCCTTCTCCAATAGTATTTGCCAGCCAGCACCTGGCAAGAATGGATAACTTAACATGTTTCCTGTTGTATATGAATCAATTATCAGATCTACAAATGCTGAATGTGTCAAAGGTGGAAGAACATCCTTCTGATGTACTCACAGCAAGTCACGAGATGCTGAAATACACATGACTCAGAATGAGGGCCAGGGGACCATGAGGCTGTGTTTGTCAGTGCAGAATTAGCTAAGGAATGACAGCCAGTTAAGAAGAGGGTGCGGCTCCTAACATGTTGCTGCAACTCCTGCCGACCCTGATATGCATGGCCAGGTCCTTTGGAGCCAATAATGATGAGAAAAAGGATCCCATGGCTTTTACCAAAATATGTTTCTTTTCTCCTCTGAGTTGTGGTGACATGCTTGCTAGTAGCTTACTCTTTCCTATCAAAGCTGTCCTGATTATAAGCCAAGGCACTCACCAAAGTCCTGTCCCCGCACCTCTCCTCCCTCTTCAGGGCTCATTAAGAAGGGGGCGCATAGGGTGTTACTTTGTAAATGCCTCATTTCAACTCCTGAAAGGCTGAGCAAAGCCAAGGGAAGCTGGAGGTAGAGGATCTAGGGAAAAAAAGATTAGAAATCTCTGTCCATCACTGCAAGGTCTACAATTAAAAGATGCAGACCTTAGAATATGCAGTTTTCCCAGATTTCCAACCCTTCCTGAATATCTTCCCATTAATTGTCCTGTTTAATTTATCACCGTGTTTGCTCATTCCTCCAAGTACCTCTGAAATATGTCCACTCTCCCCTTCCATTACCTCCATTGAAATGACCACCACCTCATTGATGTTAGATTGCTCTCAAGCTGCCCTCACGCAGCAGCCAGAGGGTGACAGTGAAAGACAAATCTTTCTTGCTTAGGATAAAGACCCCATTGATCTTGTCTATTGGGACCTACCTGGCTGGCCCCTGCTACGCTCTCTAATCTCACTCCTCCAACATTGCAATCAAGCCCCACAAGCTTTTCTCAGTTTTTCTAATAAGCCAAACTCATTCCTGCTTCAGGGCTTTGCACATGTGATACCCTGTGCTTCACCTACTCCCTCCCATACTCGGCCAGTCACGTTAGTCACCACTTACTTCCTTTTGGTATGTCATTTTACTCATCAAACTCCTCTCTCCTGGAACTCAGTCATGACTGAAGTTTTAGATTTGTAGAAATGACTATTTGATTAACTCTCTTTCCCATAAGATTTAAAAGCTCCCAGAGACATCATTTTACTTTCATTTACCATTGTATTCCCAGCTCCTAATACTATGCTTGGCAATTGGGGCATGAGTAAATCTTTGTTGACCGAATAAAAAAACCGTAACTTTTGTGATTATCCTACCAGCAGAGGAGGATGGTATACAAAGGAAGTACACAGATGAGAGCCCTGGCTGCAAATCCTGACTCTGTCATCTGTTGGGTGATCTTGGACCAGTTGATTTACCTCTCTACGCTTTAGTTTTCTCGTAAGTAAAAATGGGTATAACCATATTTACATGAAGTTGTGTAGATAACATTGCCAACTGGGCACCCACTAGGTCCTTAGTGAACTACAGACATTGCTATCATTATTGGTTATCGTGCAATTTAGACACACGGGGTGGAAAGTCTTCTGGGGAGGCCACAGGCTCCTCAGGAAGAGTGACAGATTACACCCAAAAGGAAACAGATAGTAACATTTTTTATTAAATATTACAGTGGATCAAAAAGTACAAAATATCTCTTGCCTGCTATGTGATTGGGAAACTATTGGCACGTAATACAGTATCAAAAGCAGTAATAAGTACAATTTGGAAAACATACAAAATTGAGTGTTTATAGTTGGCTCAGCATTCTTCTGGTAGTGTTTAAACTAATGCAAAGGTTACTCAATAACCTCTCCATTGGGAAACTATATAATATCACTGGGCCATGTTGCTATATACAAATAATCACCTTACAGAGCATAGAGGTTACATAGCTGGAATCACCAAAAGTATACAATATTTACAACACAGGAAAGTTTAAAAAAGTATAAACAGCCAAGAGATTATGCTGCTATTCTTCAGACATATTTCAACCATGAGGAGACAGGCAGAATATCAAATACACTAACAGCCAACACTGGACTTTTAAGTGCTCAAGATAATCATTGCAATGGTGTGGGTCTCACCAGGGCAAACTCATTCCCATTTCTCTTTAAAATTGGGACAAGAGTAAAACTAGACCAGATGGGACTTGGCTGACCACCACCAAATGTGACTTTGTGGGACGATAAGTGAAGAGAAATAAACGGTTCTCTTTGAAGGCACACTACATAAAATATTTTTGTGGGACCACCTCGAAATTTCCATCAGACACACCAACACAGTGAAATACAGTACTTGAGAATTCATGCACCAGGTCAGAAAGTTGTAAAGTTAACATCGAGTTTTAACAAACCCTTCTGTATATGCCCTGATAAACAAGTGAACTTAAGAGCTTCTAGCTAGTAAATAAATAAGTCAGTCCTGTGGCAAATATTACAAGTTCGAATCACTTACTAGAATACTACTTAATTCTGAAACTCGGTTGGGCTGTTTTTTTTTCATGTGGAGTTGCCAAACATTAAACCAGAAGTTGCATGGAAAGGTTTTTTAAAAATATTATTTAGAATCTCCAAATCTCCAATAAATCACAGACTTACTGCATTTTCAATTGCAACATTTCTTGGAAGCCACACTCAGTAAATAGATTTATGACTCCACTGCCAATTCGATTCCACAGTTTCCTTTACAGAACTACCAATAACAATGGTTTGATTGCACAAAGAAAGGCTTGTGCAATTCCATTCAATAATAAGGCCCCTTGAACTCAAACAATGCAAACAAAGCCTTATTTAAGACATTTTAAAACGTTGTTCTCAGCCAATGAAGAATTCAATGGTCCTTTTGAACGATTTCCAAGATCTCTGTTCAGAGTTTTAAAACAAATAACACACTGCTTCTGTTGGGAATACATACCCCCATTTCTCTTTATTTGTCCTGATGTTTTGCCGAGGGTATGAGCTTCCTCAGACAGAAACAGTGAGTCTCCTCTCGGAAGAGATGAGAAAAACAAAAGCTGGACTATGTTAACATTGTTTGAAAATGGTGTGATCGAATTCCAACATGATGAAACCAGACTGAAATCATTGCAGTGGAAAAAATAAATGCCCCATATTCCAAATAGGTGAGCTCCACTGGGGACAGATGGCTCCCCCTTTCTTTTGAGACACGAAGTCATAGAAGCCACATGTGATCTAGCCCATGTCTGCTGCAGAGCCACCGAGGTTTCCTTTTTCTTCCATATTCTCCGATTCTGTGACCATTCAATCTAGTGCAATTTTCTTATTATATGTGTCCTGGCTAGCATCTTGCCAGCTGGAATTGAGATTTTTTCCCCCTTCTAGCTTGTGCAATAGCAGGATAATCTGCAGTCACACATTTATAATCTAAAATCTACTAGTCTATCTATGGTTCTATTAAATATATATATATATATATTATTCCACAGGAAGGTAAATAATTAATTGAAGCAAATGGAACTCTTAACACTGGATCTCTACATTCTTTTGTTTCCACCTTTGGATATTAAGTATGTTACACTGAATATTTGGCTTCATATCATGGAGACATCTCAATACAAATGCACGGCATGCATGGCTTTGTTTAAGAGCCGCAGTTTCATTGTTATCAGTTTTGACTATTTTGCAGTCGAGTTACCTATTTAGAAGTTGAAAATTGTCATCAATTTTCCCAGAATTAAATATCTCAGAGGTAAAAGACTTAATTAACTATGGTTCTAAAGTCTACTGGTAGTGTTGCGGGAGGGGCACAGTGGGTTGGGGAGTTCATCCAAGCGGTCTTCAGCAGGGATGGGACTTGGGGAGAAAATCCACTCTCTGTATCCATTGACTTTTAATTAATACAGTTTGAAAATGCGTCCACCTTAATGTTACATCTCGGTAGCGAATGCAATAAAGTGGTAAGAATGACAATGGACATTCTCCACATCTTTTCACTGCCTGAGCAGCTTGACCATTTACTTCCAAACAAGAAAAGAAACCAGAAAGCGGACTGTATTGCCAGGTGGTTAAAAATATGACCAAAACCACCTTACGCGTGTGTGTGTGTGTGTACACAAAACTCATGCCCCGTAAGCCCAAAGAGGATGACTTTCCTTTTGAAAAGGCTAATCCAGTATGTCAACTATCCCCAAAGTTGTGGCCTCGGAGATTCTCCTTGGGAATGACAAGAAACCAACTCGATGAAAACAACGTGACTGCTTACTACTCAAAAGACTGAGGCTAGAGAAGCTATCAGGACCGCAGCTCCTCCTCTTCTGGCCATTTGAGCTCCATCCTCTTCCCAACCCCCTTTCCCAGACCATTTAAAGGAATCGGTGCCAACGCCAATGTAAATCATTTTGGCTCCTGTTCTAATTTCTGAAATTCCTAAAATATCTGTGCAGCCCACAAATATGTCCTCTAGACTCTGTTGTTATTCGGCAGCTTGCTGCCAGTGAGGTTTTTGTTTTTATGATTCCTCTGGTATGTAGGACAGTTTCACAGCCTAGATAAGGTAAGTACAATGCTCAATATTTTCACAGAACCCAATATTTCAAAGCAAAGCATTTGGCTGGGTAAGCAGTGTATAAGCTCTTTCAACTATGCCATTTATGAGGAACAAAATCCTTAAGTTGAGGATCTACAGAGGAACGTTCTTTGCACTATTGTGTGCTTGACTGTTTCTTTTTCATTTGTTCCACTAGAATCAGTTGCTTCAATTTGTAAACAATAACTTTACCACCCAAAGCTGCTCAAAAATAAGATGTGGAAAAATTACAAACACACAACAACTAGGACAGTCAGCCAGCCTCGAAAACAAAACAAAAACAAAAACAAAAAGACCTGCGAACAAAAGCGATACCGTTTAATTAAAAAAAAAAAAAAAAAAAAAAAGGGATGAGAAAGGAGAAAATGGAACTACCTGTATATAAATTAGGTGAGCAAACAGTGATACGGGTAGTTTTATGAAGCAAATATATACAGTCAATTTAACAGTGTTTACTTCTCTGGATTGTTTAATAGTGTCAAAATGAAAGATCTATTGAAGTTTCACTATACATTGCATTGATTGAAACTTGGAGAGTTTTATGAAAAAGAGGGGCATCCCTTGGCATCTGTTTGCCAGTCTTCCTTGCCCCTTCCTTTGAAATGCCTGCCCCTTTTTTGCCCAGATTGTTTTCTGACCATCCAAACTCAGATGGGGTCCTCTAAGAAGTTTTTCCTAGATATTCACAAATCCCTTTACAAGGCCCACATGCGAAATGAATGATCTGGAGGTGCCTGGGCATCTGTGTTGGAAAGGAGTCATTACTGACCAGCCAAGGCTGGAGTTGTCCCACAAAAATCAGGCATGTTCACCTCCCCTCTGGGCCCCTACAGCTGGGACTGATCATAGCCCCAGATTAGAAGAAATACTGACTTCTAACTCTATAAGCCAGCCCGCCTGGGTAAGGAGTGAAGCTCTGTTAGCCATGCCGCTTTGGACTGCTGGGCGAAACTGAGCCTACAGTTTTGTACTGGGGTGCACGGATGACAGCTGGGAAGATGGAAAGGCAGCTTGAGGATTTATAGCAGCTAAAGGGTAAATGCTGTTATGCAAAAGGTCCCCATACGAACTTCCTACAGGTGTAGCCGCAGCCAAGTGTCTGTACAGCTGCTGAGAATTTGTCGGCGATGTAAAAATTCCTCTTTGCATCACAAGCGAGTGGAAAGCCAGGGGCTGCATGAGCGGAGAAAGCACAGTCTGGTTTTTCAAGTACTGCAGAGAATGAGAATACCCAGCTGGGAGCCTGGAGTTGAGGCCCGAGTTACACAGGCTCCCGGAATACAGACCTGGGAAGATAGGGGAAGAGAGGGGAAGCTTGTGGCCTTCTGATCCGCTCCCGGAATGCCCACTGTGTGCTGCCTTGCTGCCTTCACTCTCCTGCTCAGCGGCCTTCTCCTTCCCAGAGACCTCCTTGGATGGGTCTAAGGGAGACACTGCCCGGGCCTTTTTCCCTGCAATCACAAGGTCCAAATCCTCCAGGCTGCGCTTGATCGGTCGCGCCGCCCCAATGTTCTGTGGACTCATTTTCCGGTGCAGGATTGGGTGGACCATGCCTTCCATCTTCCTGAAATTCTCCAGTCTCACATGGTGAGTTTTTCCTGATCTTGAAAGTGATTCGGGGTATTTTTTAGGGCCCGACATGGTCATGGGTGATACCCGACAGGCTTTGGGGTGACAGTCTCGACTCTGGCTACCTAAGACCTGGAACTGGGAAACGCCTTTGCTCTCCTGGGGCCCTGTGGCTGAGTGAGCCAGGCCCAGGACCTTGCCGGTAGGTTTGTGTGGGTTCTTGGGAAGGCTCAGATCTGTAGGCTGATCATCTGTAGCAGATTCTGCTACCGCTGACTTTTTGTCTTGCAGGTGCAGGGATGTAAGATAATTTACATGGAGCTTTTCTTGGTGTCTGTGGGAAGGAAAAGAACTGTTTTCCGATTCCCTGTACATGTCCCTGGACGGGTATTTGGATGTCTGTTCATTATGAAGATGGTGCTCAGTATGTCTGTAGAGGCTATGGAGATGAGGGGATGAGTAGAAGTCTGCCAGGAAGCTAGGCATGTGGGAATGGGGGAGGGCCCTTTTCTCTAAGAGTTTATCCTTGCCCTCCTGAATTTCTTGCTTCAGGACATAGGAGTCAGCAAGGGGGTTAAGGTGGTGCTTGGAGAAGCTGCAGCGGTGGGGATCTGATCGACTCAGTTTCTCGTGCTTAAAGATGTCATTGATGGTCTTTCTTTCCTCTGAGGGCTTGCTTTTGAAACTCTGGACATGCTGAATCACCGATGGCCGGCTGACCGCCATATGGTCAGCGCTTTGGCCATGGTGGGCCTGGGACAAACTGGAACACAAGTCATCCCTAGCCATCAGTTTCTTTTTGCTGATCAATGGGGGTGGGGAGCCATAGGGGTAGCTGTTGGAGAGGCTGGCCCCACTTACTTGGGACAAAAGCTTTTTCTTGGCCAGCGGGGACATGATGCCTGGGTTGCCCCTGGAGTAGAGCAGGGGTGTGTAATTCAGTCCATGGTTCTCATTCATAGGCCCCGTCAGGTCTTTGTCTTTGAACATGTCAAACGACTGGACCACAAGGACCTTTGGGGTCTGCTTGAGCGCATTGTGGATGTCCTCACTGCCCAACTGGTCCACCTTCACAGTGCAGTTGGCGATGTAATCCGCCATGGCGGGCAGTTTGTCATCCTCCATCTCGTTCTGGTTTGCCAGCGGTGGCTGTGTGGTGGGGAAGCTGGGGAAGGATGCTTCTTGGAGCTCATTTTCAGAGCTCTCTGTAAAACAGCAGGGTTTAGATTCTTGTTTTGAGTCCACCAGGGCACTGGGAGAGGTGAGTGGCTGTTTGCTGGCCCCAGGGACCAAGGTTGGATCTTTTTCTGGGGCCAGAGGAGCACTTGGGAGTGGAGGTGTGGGCCCCTTCTCTCTGGCCTCCTCTGCCACCTTCTCACTGTTGGAACCTTGGTCTGTTTCATTGTCCTTCTCTGGGTCTACTCTGGATGCCAAGGGCTTCGCTGAAAATTCCTGATACCCTTCTATTTTTTTCTTCATGTCTGCTGCTGGCAGAGGCTCAGGGATGCTTTTCTGGCTTAAAGTCTCTTGTTCTTTTTCTTGCTCTGATGAAACCTGGTAACATATTTGAAAAGACAGTCAGAAGAAAACCAAATACACTGACATGTTTTGCTATGAAATAAAATATTCCACATAGCAGTTTTACTTGAAAACAGGCTTGTCAATCAGCTCATGAAGTTTCTGTAAAGCTTTATTACTCTCCAATCATGGCTCTAAACAAAGAAATCTAAATTACAGAAACATTAGGGGAAATATGCATATTCGCTTCAGTCCCTTATGAGACACCTATCAAAATAGCAAAGTGTTATGTACTGATGGTATACAATCATATCACTCCCTGATTCTAATATATAGTTTAATTCTAAGGTTGTCTTCTTGTCAAATCAGTCAATTATCCAAATGGGTTTTAAATTACATGTTGTGTTTTATGATACTCCTGAGAAAGATTTTTTTTTTCAAGCATTTCTCTTTCAAAAATCCAACCAACCTATGTCAACAACAAACAACGAACCTACTGCAGCTCCTTGCTTTTCTTTAACAGGGCAAATCCCTTCCCAGTGTATTCAGTATGATGCACTGAAGATTAGTAATGCATAAGTGTTAATAATTTCTACTCAGGGCCAGATGACAGACATGCAGATGATGCTAAAATATTGACAAAGTATGAAGATTTCTTGGCAGCCTGTCTACCTGAGGGACACAGAAGACTAAGTCTTTCTAGGTTGCAGCAAACTATGTTTCTATTAAAGCCAAAAATGAAGTTGTCAAAATTCAGACAATCAGTGCTACCACAAATAGAGCTTTGCTGTTCAATGAAATAAATTATAGTCAATGAGATAGATAGATGCTCCTTATTTGACCCTACTGACAGAAGTTGTGGGTACCAATTTGACGCATTTACTGCATTGTGTAGCCATGTCAACTTTAGCCTTAAAAGGTCATTTTAACTTTCCATCTGTGACCCAGCTGACTGACGAGCCCTTTCAAAACTGCTGTCATTCTGCCCTGACATGTCTTAGCACAGCAGTCACACAACAGTTGTGTTGAGCTGGTCTTTTTCCCATCCTCCTTCCATCTCATCCCTTGAACTTTGTTCTTCTCTGTTAAGAAAAGAAGTGCTTGTAATCCCAGCACTTAAGGAGGCTGAGGCAGCAGATCACCTGAGGTCAGGGGTTCAAGACCAACCTGGTCAACATGGTGAAACCCTGTCTCTACTAAAAATACAAAAATTAGCTGGGCATGGTGGCGGGTGCCCGTAATCCCAACCTGGTCAACATGGTGAAACCCTGCCTCTGCTAAAAACATAAAAATTATGTGGGCATGGTGGCAGGTATGGGTAATACCAGCTTCTTGGGAGGCTGAGGCAGGAGAATCGCTTGAACTCAGAAGGTGGAGGTTGCAGTAAGCCGAGATTGCGCCACTGCACTCTAGCCTGGGCAGCAAGAGTAAAACTCTGTCAGAAAAAAAAAAAAAAAAAAAAGGAAAGAAAGAAGTATCTGCCACATTAGCATCTTTGGGTAAGATTGAGGCTGCTGTTTTAAGAATACATGGGAATGAAAATTTTAAGAAATCACACCCATTTCATATTTTTCCTCAAATCCCCTTAAAAAATCCTTGAATTTTAGGGATGTGTTATACCTAAGAGTCTTTGCTTATCATCATTTCTTTTTCTGTTTTCGTACGAATAGCTGCCTTTTCCAGTACAAATATCATTACTTGTTCTACCTTAATAATCATCATTGGTCTCTTGAGCTTATACATGACATAAAAATACAGAAATATGAGTATGGCAAGGGAAAATGACAAATTGCATCCAATTGTTAGTCTCTTATGGGACTATAGGTTGACACAGGACCATGAGGGATACTCAGTCCCACTGAGGTTTGTATGATGTAGACCTGCAGTTATGTTGGAGTCCCATGCTTCGGGTTGTAAAACAGGTTTAGGAAGTTTTTGAAAGCTAGGCAGAAAAAAGAAAAGGACTCTTTTTTCTAGGAGAGCATTTTATGAACTGCTTAGTATGCTAAATTTTACCTTCCCACCATGCAACTTGCAGTCCCATCACCTGAATATAGTGGATTTAACTAGAGGGAGTTTATTAACCTTTCTATCTCCATTGAGTTCACTGCTTCATATTGAAAACACCAAAAAGTAAAAAAAATGACAACAATAAAATCCAAACCAACAACCCCAAATAGAGTCAATGAGAAAAAATATACCTGGCTAATAAATGGTTCTGTGTTGGAGGCGGGAAGAGATTCGTATTATAAGGTCAGCCTTGGAGAGGGTGGGAGACTCCATGAGGTTTAGATAACCTCATCAGGACAACCTTTGAAACTTGAGACACTTACTTACAGCTCCCTGAAGGGAACAGTTAGAGCCTACAGAAAGCAGACAGCCTAACAGTTTTAAAGGTTTCTATGAACTTCAGGGAGTAAGGCTCCACTCTTGGGAACGGTCATCTCCCAAGCTGACAGGCTTCATGCATAGGCTAAGGATTCCTCCTGCCATTCACAAACCAGCCGTTTCAAACTTAATCCCCAAAGTGGAGACATTCAAGGGTCAGCTGTCCCCTTGGTCCTGTTTGTCCCCTGGTGCTTTGTGTACATATGGCAGCTAATAGAACGCATTCATCTGAAACCCTATAATATATCACTAGGCCAAAAGTATAAAGAAAAGATGGAATGTAAGCATGCCCTTGGAATTTCCTTGCTTTTGGCCATTTATGTTGCAAGCTTGCAGATGTTTAGAAATCTGCATCATCTGGCCAGGGACGGTGGCTCATGCCTGTAATCCCAGCATGCTGGAAGGCTGAGGCAGGTGGATCATTTGAGGTCAGGAATTCAAGACAAGCCTGACCAACATGGTGAAACCCTGTCTCTACTAAAAATACAAAAAAAATTAGGCGTGGTGGCGCATGCCTGTAGTTCTAGCTACTTGGGAGGCTGGGGCAGGAGAATCACTTGAATTTGGGAGATAGAGGTTACAGTGAACCGAGATAGCATCGCTGCATCCAGCCTGGGTAACAGAGACTCCATCTCAAAAGAAAGAGGAAAGAAATCTGCATCATCTTCGTCCTTCCCCTTTTTGGTTACTAGAGCTTAAAATAATTACGAAACTTAATAAAAACAAAAAACCCCACAAATTTCTTGGTATCAATACTATCTTGTTATGTAACAATCAGTTGGGTAAGTTGATGTCTACATGGGAGGTTGGTGTGGGTTGTACATGTGGAATTTAAACCAGTGTTTAATTACAGAGGCTCTTATGTGTTCATTATAAACCTGATTTTTTAGGGGGTATTTAATATCAGCACCAAAATTCCCTCTGGGGTTGAATCCTAGAACATGCTGTCTCCAAATGTGGCTGCTAAGTTGTTTTTTTTTTGTTTTTTTTGTTTTGTTTTTTAATGGGCAGCAAGGTTTTTTATTATTCATGTTGAAACAGAGCCCAGATCAGCCTACATGACTGGCTGTATGCTGGTGGCAATGGCTTCTACCAAAGGGCTGTTGGAGGCTGTGGGTAGCTGGGGCTTGTTTTAAAAGATTCAGAAACTACCTGTTCATATGAAAAATAATAATGGTTTCAGAGGAACCATTTCAAAATTCCCCTATAAATAATATGCACTTAAGATTTTTCTAAATTGATCTCAACCCAAGGCTGTTGTACAGAGATCAATTATGGAAGACAAACACATCTCTCAAGTTTTCAGGAGAGTCTTGCAGATACAGCACAGCGATTCCAACATCCCTCTTTCCTAGACCCCCCAAAGCATTTTTTTTTTTGAGCTAAGGTCTCACTCTGTCACCCAGGCAGGAGTGCAGTGGTGTAATCACAGCTCACTGCAACCTTTACCTTCCAGGGCTCAGGTTATCCTCCCACCTCAGCCTCCCGAGTAGCTGGGGCCACAGGTGTGCACCACCACGCCTGACTAATATTTTGTATTTTTTTTGTAGAGATTGGGTTTCGCCATGTTGCCCAGGCTCATCTTGAATTCCTGGGCTCAAGCAATCCACCTGCCCTGGCCTCCCGAAGTGCTGGGATTACAGGCATGAGCCACCACGTCCGGCCCCAAAGTATGTTTTAAAGTCACAGCAGCTCCTCAGATAGACTGGCTGTGAAATGGCAAGAAGCCATGTTTTCACAGTAAAATTCTTTGATGTTAGTGTAGCTCTGGCTCCTTCTCTCTTGAAGCCTGAGCATTTGCTATCAGTTTTCTACAGGATGTTTGCATCCTTCTAGAGTCGATTCCTGGCTTATCCCATTCGATACCAGGCACCGCATTTCAACTCATGAGCAAACTGAAAGGTTTTCAGGAATTAGGGAACTATGTGGGGAGCTATGAAGCTTAGATGTCTTGGTCTCTTCATCAAGACATCTAACTGTGCAGGTACACAGCTCAGGGCTCCAGAAGGACCTCGAGGCAGGACTTGTCCTCCAGAGGTATTTATGTGGAGCACAGCAACTCACCTCTACTGCGTCCTGGGGCTTTGGGGCATTTTCTTTTTCTTTCTTGCTTTTAAGTATTTCATGTTTGATGCGTTTGGTTCCAGATACTTTTGTTTTATTCTCATTTTCCTGTGAACTGTTCTCCTGTTTCCGAGGTTTGATTGGAGGCAGGGGCTTATCTTCTTCTCCTTTAATAAACCTTTCGTATGGTAGGATTAATCTAAAAGGATAACAGAAGAGATGATCAGACAGTTCAGTGATTCCAGTAGCATCAATGCTTCGGGGGTTTACTTTCTTTTATCAATATAAGCAACTTACTAAATGACTTCATCTCCAATGACACTGCTGTACTTCTATAAACCTACTCCACACTTTACTGCCCTGTTTCCTTGGTCAAAATCAGTACCTGGTAACTTAATACTTCTCGGCAAGACCTCTTTTTAGTTTTGTGAGTCTATATACCAAGATACCAATGGAAACATCCCACATGAACAATATCTTCATCACTCCCCATGGAACCTGGCTAAGTGTCAACAAAATCACAACAATAATGCTAGCTGCTTTACCAGTCCATCAACAACTACACATTGAGCACATACTACACGCAGTGTTCTAGGCATGGAGACACAGCCGTGAAGCAAACACTCAAAGCCTCTGAGCTCATGAAGCTTATACTCTAGCAGGTACTAGCATGTGCCAGGTACATTTAAAGATTATTTCTTGTAAACTCCACAACATATTATTCTCTTTTTAACATATGAGACAATTGAGGCCTAAAAAGGTTAAACAATTTGCCTCAGGGTCATACCATTTGTTAGAGGTGAGATTTGAACCTAGTTCTGCCCATCTGAAAATATTTTATTTTCATTCATATCGAAATACAGATGAAACATCTAAGACAAAAAGGTCAATGAGAGGCAAGCACAGTGTGGCCAAGAGACAACTGTCTTACCCCACAGCTCTGAGTGGGGAAGGGGACTCCACTGAGAGCTCTGTTTTAGGGTGCAAAGTAAAAGCCCCAGTGAGAAGGAAGGCAGACAGACTATGCAAGCCACAAAAACCAGAGGGCTGAAAATTTCAAGCATTTTAATTATATAACTTTTTAAACAAAGTACATAAAATTGCTCTAAAAAGAGAAACATCAAACAGCTCTAGTTTTAATCTGTTTTCCCTTTGCGACATAGCTCTTTATCTGAAAGGGGAAAATAGCTGATGTAATTAAAAGGGACGGATTGCATTACAATCTCAGTTTCAACTTCAGTGATTAAAGTTTTTATAATGCATTTGGTATGATTAATGACTCACTGTGGGATTAATATAAGACTCAGCCTTAAAAATATGAACTTTAATACAGCAAACATAATTTGTTTTAAATAAGACAAGTTGACTCAATGAAGAAAATGTACTTGGCTTATAAACATCATAAATCTGTTCAAATATTGGGGATCCTCATTATTTTTAAACTAAGATTCCCAGGCAAAAACTTCCTTGGTCTGGATATTGGTTTGCTCTCCTAAAAGGTGTTTCTATGCATGTTATTTGGATCTCAACTGCTTAACCATACACTATTATTCAGGTTTGAGAGTACAGATGTGGGGACATTTGTGATCCTAATATTTTGCTCTTTAATAAAATACCAATAAAATTATGGGAAAATCAGATCACAATTTATAGCATATTAGAAACAAAATTCATTTACTGAGCATGCTTGGACAAGGTATGAACAAGGAGGTGTGAATAATACTTTGGAGCCCTACATCTGGCAGTTGGCCAGCCATGAAGATCAGCACAGCCCATGGGGAATAGTTATCTTCAGATCCCATTACAAACTGAGTTTAAACATGTTACAGCTGCTAAAACTGGAAACTGCCCTCCCTATGTAGACTTACTAAAATAATATATGGCTGCCAAATACCTGCTTCCCACTGCAATATTACAGTTAATGTTTATATAATAAAAAGCATAACTAAGCAGAAAAAGAGAGAAAAAAGCAATCCTGTTCATACTTGAATTTATTCTGTCTCATCTGTAAAGTCCCCAGCGTTCCCCCCAATTCCTTTTTTCTGCCTGGTTCTGCCAGGGACTTTATCCTCTTCAATATTGGCAGATTGGGGAATTTTGTCCGGGAGCAAAATGTATTGAATATTTTAAACGGGAAAGATATTTTAAATTGACTTTAATGAAAACATATTTTATTGTTGGGACAGATAGGTTTGTTTTACTTTTGTTTTGTTGCCATGGGAACTCAAGAGCAGTGAAGTCTGGGTATTCCAATGATTGCAATTGCTGGTACCACCCTTCCCCCAACTTCATTTTCTGATGGAGACGGTGACACCATGGGGGACCCTCTTTACAGAGAAGAATGACAGCATTACCTCTGAGTGTGGGGAGGGGAAGGAGGGAAAGCAGAGAACTGGGTGGGAAAGACACCCCAGGGACCCCCAGGACCCCTCACTCTGGGTTCTGAGAGCCTTGGGCCAACCTGGCTCTCTAGATGGGTGCTAAGGAGATTTTAATTTCCTTTTCTAATTTTGTAAGTTCACAAAGCAGGGCACCATTTTCATTTCAGTTCCCTTTTTTTTTTTCATTTTTTTCTTTCTTTTTTTTTTTTTTTCTCCTCTCTCCTTCACTCAACTCAGCAGCTGGCTAGCTGACAGCAGTAAAAAATACATTTCACTTTGCTGGTCAAAGGCCTAAAGCCAGAAGCAGGAAATCTGGAATTAAATGTTTCTTGTATCTGGAAAGAGGCATGACTAAGGTAAAACTGAATCCAAACACAAGCCCTGCTTGTTTAAGGCTTCCAGAGAGTATATGAGAGTGTGTGAGTGTGAAACTCTGTGTGTGTGTGTGTGTGTGTGTGTGTGTGTGTGTGTGTGTAAAGGTCAACTGAGTGTTTTTTTTCCCCTTCTAAATCATTGAAAGATAATTATAGTGGCTTGGGGAAAAAAGGCTCCTAAAATAAAACAAGGCAGAAGCTAAAAGGAAGCAAGTAGAAATATGACCAGCTAAGCTTTGAAGAACAGGGCACAGTCTCACACGGCACACAATTGCTGCCTCATATAGTGATTTCCGTTTGGTGCAATTTTCACTGAATGTTTTTTCAGTTATCCTGTCATGGTACAATACAATTACCCCACAGGATATGATCTTATCATTTGATTATTAGAAGTTTTTACAGTACAAAAGGACAAAAGCTATTATAGGTTCCCGAACATTTAAACATTCAACGTACATGTGGTACCATTAAAAACAGGTTAGCCTTAGATTAGGTCAACATTGCTCGATGTAGAAAGCTGAGTAGGTTTGTATTATATAAAGAATTTAGTAAAATGCACCATGCCTGTGCTTTGAAGATGATTATTTCTCAAATATTTGTAGCAGAGCAAAGATTTAATCAGTTTCTAAACTGTACAGATAAAAGCAAACATTCACTCCAGCCCCAAGAATTTGTTACACAGGAGAAGTATTTTCAATGGACTGCAACTCTAAGAATGGGGGCTGGGCTTTGGTGGGTGGGAGTAATGGGGAAGAGAAGCAAAATATTCATTAGAAAATTCAGAGAGATTTTCCCCCTCCTGATCTACATCTAGTCTGGGGATTGAAAGCTGGACAGATAAATGGGCCTTTATTACTATCCAGATTTCACATTTCAGATTAGCAAAATGCTTATTTACGATGCCATTAATGGATCTGAAATAGGTAAGCCATTATGTATTAAAAAATAACATCTTTCCATAGGCATAAGATTTGTAGCAGCATGAGATTTTATTTTTCCCTAGGAATAATACAAGAATAACATTTTCCACCCCAAAGCAGAAACAGTAGGGGGGCCTTTTGCTATCACAGAGATTCTTATTAAATTCAGTCACTGTGAAAAGCAAGATTTTTTTTTCCTCCTCATTCTTCTTTTCTTAAAAAATAAAGACGACTTAAAATCAACCCGTTAAAATTAACAAATCAATGGCATTATAACCTTGATTTATTAGCATCTGAGCCACTAAATTATCATCATACATGAAATTGCTGGTTTGAAAAGATTTCGGCTTTGCTAAATCTCAAGCTGAATAATGGTGCTCAGTATACCAGGTTTTTAGATCTGTCTCATCTGATATTATGAAAAATTCAATACATTTCTCTATAGCAGAAGTCAGGGGTCAGCAAATCTATTACTGTAATGTAAGTAATCTGGCAACCTGCCAACTCTTTCTCCCTTTTATTACTTTTTTAAACACTAAGGCAGATAATTTTATATTTACAAAGTCTAAAATCCTCCAGGGCCTTGCCTCTCTTTCTCAACAAAAAGCAGCAGCCTGCATTAGAGAAGTGTATATCACACATGTCCTCATCATTTGCATTTTGTACAAAAGAAGAAAAGACCCTTCATCTTTATTATATAACATTCCCCTCCCTGCCTCAGAGCAGAGGAAAAATAATGTCAAACCTCATCTGAACAAGTAACCACTAATGTCTCCTGTATTGATTAATGCTTGCATGGAATGACTGAACTTTTGGGCCAAAATATTTAGCAAACAGTGCTTAATAGGAAAAATGAGAATCCATCTATTTACAGACCTTGAAAAATGATATTACAATAATGTTGGGAATTGATTCAATCCAGAGTTGGGGCAACAAGGGGCAAACCTTTAGGGTTGTATTTGAATCCCAAAGTCACCCCAGATATTACACCGGCACTTTTATGGTATCAAATCAGTGAGAAATTCCAGACTTGAAGGTTTGCTGGTGTCCTTGGAGCAGAACATTTTAGGGGCAGAGGGAAATAACGTTGGTGCATGTCAGTTCAAAGATGCTGTTACTGGCCAGGTACAGTGGCTCACACCTATAATCCCAGCACTTAGGCAGGCCAAGGAAGGAGGATCACTTGGGGTCAGGAGTTCGAGACCAGCTCATTTCTACTAAAAATACAATAATTAGCCAGGTGTGGTGGTGTGTGCCTGTAATCCCAGCCACTTAGGAGGCTGAGCAGGAAAATCACTTGAACCCCAGTGGCAGAAGTTGAAGTGAGCCGAGATTGTGCCACAGCACTCCAGCCTGGGTGACAGAGTGAGACTCTGTCTCAAAAAAAAAAAAAAAGAAAAAACCAAAAACACAAGCCACTACTATTCTAATACTATTAGGCTTTTGTAGTAACAATGAAATGACATATTGGTTCAACTGGGACTTCAGACCTGATCTCACCCCAAATGGAGTCATTACACCTCT